GGTTGTTTGGTCTCTTGGGATACGACCTTGCTTGCCACATACTACGAGCGAAGCCATACACTTGCGGTCGAGCTTTAAAAATATAGGTGAACAAGTTTTTGGCGCCGTTGCCGGGGACCAATATAATTATTTATATCAATATTATGATAGATAGTGTTGGTTTTAATTTAGATATTTTTTGTATTTCTTGCTACTATATATATATATATTTTTATGATGGATGAGGATGCGATAGACTATGACTGGCGCAATGATCCCAAATACTCGGAAGAAGATAAAAAGTGGTTTGAGGAGTGTTTGTTCTATCAGTTGGAAGAACTTAAAAAGGTTGAGTTGGAGTCGAAGCGTCGTAGGAGAGAACTCGAGGAAAGTGGCATTGGGTGTTATGAATGTGGTTTGATGTTGCCACATACACCAGGGAATTGTCCTTTCTCTAGTTTAGCTCCTATATCGCAAGAAGAGCTCGATTACATTCCTCCATGCTTTTTGTCGTTAGATAGTGCACCAGAAATTTCTATCGTTGCCGAAGAACATGAAGAAGAGAAGGATGTCATCTTTGAAATATCCCCAAAAGTTATTCTCACTGAAGGGGTGGTTCAAGAAGAATTCTTTAATTCTGAATGTTTTAAAAATTGAATTTGTCATTCCATATGATGAAGAGGTTGAAATCTTCATCCTGAAATTTGAGAGATATTGTGATGGTAAACTTGATGATTATGACGGGACCATGATGCTCTCTTATGGATTGAGTCCTTACTGGGAGAAAGTCAGACTTAAAAGGATGAGAAGATCATCAAAGTCCTTATTTAAAATTCCCTAATAGACATTCTCGTCTGGCTGAAGACGTTAAACTTAGCGCTTATTGGGAGGCAACCCAATATTTACTGCTTTATTTTTTATTTTATTTTTTTTAGTTAGTTTTATTTTTGTTTGTTTGATATTTTGTTTTTCTTTCTTGCAGAACAATACGTGGTGATATTTACATGACGAAGAACATGCTTCGAGATCCATATCAACAATCGTCACCTCTCCGATAATGTTTTGTAAGTTTTCTCTACTTTTCTTTTATTGAAATTCTATTTTTCCCTTTTGTGCTTCATATAATTTCATTCAAGTTTGGGGGGAGATGTGATATTTTGATTTGAGAACTTTAGAGAGAAGATAACAAGATATCCTACGTTATCTTTGCATATCATATAGTTGCATGTTAGATTTTATTGCTTTAGCACGTTTATTGCTTTCTTAGGAGTAGTTGTAGTTGTAGTTGAGATCCTTTGATCCACCTTGATAAGTTCTTGTGCATATTTGATATATAATTCGGGCATAATGTGCTAAGTGATGAAATTTGAGAATTGATTGAATTGTGAATTTGAATGATTGGTTGATGCTTTTAATTCATGGATATATGATCATTGGTGAGCTTTTGAGCCTTATATTTTGTTGTTGAGTGTATCATTCATTGTTGTTGGAATTCTAGAACTTGCATTGGTATCTATATCGAGACCACATGGTATGTGCTTTTTGTGAAAATGATTTAAGGCATATTTTTGTTTAAGCCCTTTTGACCCTTTTAGCTTAGCGAATGATGTTTTATTCCCTAGTCAACCCTTTTGAGCTTTTGCCTATTTTATTTGAATGCCACATATTGAGCTACATCTATATTTTTCCTTATCCCTACTTGAGCATTTAGGATTATATTATGTGAAGGGATGAGTGCGTTGTTGTGGTGTGAATAAAGAGAAGATGTAAATGGAAATGTTCTTTTGATGGGAAGTTGATTGAGGCCAATGAAAAAAAAAATGAAAAATCAAAAAAAAAAAAGAAACAAAAAAAGAAAAAAACAACCTGAAAAAAAAAAGAGGAGTTTAAGATGGTGAAAATGTGTATATAGTTAAGTTTTTTGGTTTGGTTTGATTTTATATTCTTATATAGCTTGTGGATATTTGAGTGAAATGAGGTATGGATGAGTTGGGTTGATTATGATTGGTAGGTGATGAAATGGTGTAGTTCATGTTTTGTAGTTCTAGATGCTCAAGTTTTTGTCACTTTATTCATATATTTCCTACCCTAACCAAAGAGCCTACATTACAACCAAATAAAAAGTCCTTTTTGATTCATGAATTGCATGCACAATAAGTGGTGGAGATAGTAGACGATTTGCAAGCTTATGGTAATTCTTCAACATTGAATTGATTTGAGCGATTATTTCCCTATACACTTTGGAGATTATCCGGTGAGGTATTTGTGGATTGAAGTATTAACCATGATTTTGATGAAACATTTTTTTTGTTTAAAAAATTCAGAACTTGGTTATGTTACTTGCCCGATGCTTATTGAAAATGTGTATAATGGACTTGGAGAGTGATTGTTTTTACTTGTGTGTTGGTAGGAGTTTGATGCATTGATCGGGACTATCAATGGTTTAAGTTTGGGGGTTTGTTCATGTGTGATTTTACACCATATTTATATAGGATTTAGAGATTAGTCATTGCATTATTGGTGTATAAATTGCATATTTGTGCTTTAATTCTCTATTTGTTGGAAAGGTATTACACGTGTTTGTTTTGTAGATATTTTCACATATTTGTAGAGCTTGTGGCTATTGGAGGCGCACGTTGAGTACCTAGGACCCCCGAGATGGTGAAGGATTGATGCACGGATGAGAAAAATGGAAGAAACAAGCAAAACAGACAAAAGTGTACATGCTGGGGTGTGACACGGGCATCATGCCCGTGTCAGGTGGCCGTGTCACCTGACTGAATGAATTCGAAGCTGTTTATGCGACACGGTGTGCGACACGGGCAGTCTGGCCGTGTCGCGTGCGGATGCTGATTTTTAATTGTTGCCTTTTTGGATAAGGAGAGGACTTTTGGACATATAAAAAGGCATATTTACCTTATTTTGAGCCGCAGAACGTGAGAACACAAGGAGAAGAGCCCTAGAACACACAAGAGAAGCAATTGAGGAGTAAAAGGAGGATCAACTACGAAGGGATCAAAGAGATTGAAAGATCGACGAGATTCCTAGTTTTTATTTCTTCTTTCCTCTTGAACTTTTATTGATCATGTCGATTTCTAATATGTCTATGTGTTTGAATTCGAACATGAGTAGCTATATTTATTGATTCTAAGACTTGGTAGTAGATTAATATGTTGAGATTTTGGATGATTTATTTATAATTGATTGTTTTTCTTTTGAACCCTATTCAAGTATTTTGCTCTTATTCAATTTTTAGAACTTGATCAATTCTTTTACATGTTTGACAATATTGTTCATAATTCGATAGATGAGTTCAATATTAGGTCTTTAATACTTGACATAATTTACTTGCTTGAATCGAGAGATTAGTAGGTAATTGTGAGGATTTTAGATCTTTTAATCTATTTGGAGTTGAATTGCATGTGTTGAGTGGAGACGCTAATATATGTGATTTAATCTACGGTTTTATCGATCTCGAGAGGGACGATAGGCTAATTTGGTGATCATCTTATAGGGTAGATAAAGAAAATAGTTAATTGTGATATATCTGAAGGAACCCAACTGTTAATTGAACCCATAGTCTTAGAATCTACCTTTCCCATATAATTCTTCTTAAGTGTTTTTCAAGTTGTTTTCTTGTTATTGATTTCTTATCTTTTAATTTATTTGCTTAGTTTAGTTAATCAATCTCATATTCGGTCGTCTAAATAAAATTGGCACTTTCATTATCTAGTACTTGATTAATTGGTTGTTTGGTCTCTTGGGATACGACCTTGCTTGCCACATACTACGAGCGAAACCGTACACTTGCGGTCGAGCTTTAAAAATACAGGTGAACAGTCGGGGCCCGCAAGATTCAGGTCGAAGTGGACAACCAAAGTATAGTGGCGATGGTCAAGCAGGGGGTTCATGCGGGGGTACATAGTGGCCTTGTGAACGGTATTAAGGAGCTTTTGGGTCGTTCTTGGGAGGTGGAGATAAATCACGGTTATCGAGAGTCGAATTTTGCGGCGGATTATTTGGCGTCGTTGGCGGCTAAAGGCCCGGGTGGCTTTCACACGTTGGCTCCCCATCCGGGAGTCGGCATTTGGTTGCACCATGATAGAGTTGGTGTGTCGTACCCTCGATCGGTTATTCCGTAGGCTTTCGTAGCCTCCTTCTTAGCACCAAAAAAAAAAAATATTATTAATAATAGTCAAATATGTTATGACATTCTTGTAATTAAGTGTGTAGGGTAAAATAGAAATTACACAAAAGTACAACTCATCCACCTATACAATGGACCCACCCAAACTCACCCAACTTGGTTTCTTTCACACGCATTAAGACACACACACATTTCACAGAAATACCGGTTTGACCTATTGTTTTGACATATATTTCACGACACACATTATGTGCATTCTAAAATAACATTTAGAGCATTCGAAGGCGATATCGTCCGACTCCCTGATGTGTTCCCCACAGTCGCCACACCGGTAACCATCGACTGAAAGTGCTCGAACAGAGGTGACCGGACAGTCATGGCAGCCCACACGAAGAGTGAAACCGAGCTTGATCTTGGAAAGATGATCGAAATAAGGAATGCAACGAATGTGGAAAGAGTGATCACACTGGGTGCAGCTGTAGTACCAGTACCTCTTGTCTATGTCCATTTCACAGATCTCACATAACAACATTTGTTGCTCATCTTCATCTCTTTCATGACCGTCTTTCTTGGTGGTAGCGACTAGCTTTAGTGGGTGGCGGTCGAATTTGTGGCGGACTGTGTTCGGAAGGAGAGCACAATAGGCGTGTATAAAGAAGTTGCGACAACTATTGCATCTGTACCAAAACCCAAAACTCGGTCCCTTTCCGCAACAATTACATATTTTGTGTGAGTCGGATTGGAGCTGTGAAATGAAAAGAATGTGTGTACTTGCGTGTGCGTCATGCGAGATTGAAAAGGGCATATTAGCACACACAACATCCGCCAACGGGAGGTCATCCATGTAATAGAATGGTCCATTGCTTGAACGAAAGCACCGGGCGCACCAGAATATATTGCTTAGAGATGTGTTGGGTTTAAGTGATACGGGCAACTGTTGTTGGAGTACTGAAGTAGTAGGAAGATGGACACATGAGCTATGGAGAACGAAATCTGTACAACCACATTTGCTATTCTTCTTACTCTTGTTGTTGTTGTTGTGATCACCAATATAATTGTAAATGCAAGTGTAATATGGATCGAGTGGAGATATAATTAGAATGCACGCATTACAAACACGATCGATACCATCTGCATCAAGAAGAATCAAACGGTGCTTGTGCAGGATGCTCTTTTGAAATAATGATGATTTGCTATCATCAATATTAGTAGTATTATCATCGCCATCACAGTTGCTAGCACCACTACCATCATATTCATTATATTCATTTGTATAATTGGCCTTCATTACACATGCCATCACACTCGTGTATTCATTTTCCATGGGAAGACGAAGCAAGTTGGGAACTTGTGCATTCCGAATCAACACTGCAAAACAAAAAGATATGAAAGTTAAAAAGCTTTTTTTTTTTTTCCTTTTATTTTTTCTCTGAAAAAATACTAAATGAACAATATGAAAGCATATATATATATATATTTTATTACCTGACTTGTGTTGAAATGGTTGAATAGCACAGTTGATATGAGCATTAGTAAACCAGCAATGGACACATGCATAGTACCCACATTCATAGCAGTCACGTTCACGTTCATAGTACCTTTCAAAGATAATCCTCTTGCAAATGTTACATACATAATCTGCATAAAAATATCCCCTATAATAATATTGTAGCAGAAGGGGATGGGGGTGATGTTGGACCACAATGGCATTGGGCAAAACCGAACAATCTCCATGGATTTGGAAATCACAGTCGGCACACTCGTAGCACAATACCCACTCATCTCTCGTGTGACGTTCGTGCTGAAACCCACACGCATAGCAAATGAAGGAGCAACCCCTCCTCCTTTTGACCGTCAGCCTGTGCCTGTGGCTCCTGTGTAGGACCCTTATCGGCCAGGCACACTTGAGGTCCAGCGTGAAGTTGCAGTCTGAATGTTGGAAATAACTCTCCCGTTGCTCTGACATCAATGGCTCGATCACCATCCACCTCAGCTTCAGTTAATGACGTGGATAAGAAGCACATGCACTCCCATGCATCTGGCATGTCTGCCATGCACCTGAAATAGCCGTTGGGATTTTTTGGATTTTTGCTCTAGCTTTACAGCTCATTATTGTACTGTCTAATTCTTATCCACATGATTCCAGATAGTTCTATGTAGGGTATAAATAGGAGGCTCATGTATTTTCCTCATTTTTGATCTTCTTCAACAAGCAATATCAGATTAGGTTTTTACTGTTCATCGCATTCTTTCTCTACTGTGCACGCAAGAAGATTAAGCAATGATTTGTTTTAAATCCAACATGGTATCAGAGCAGGGATAACCTGCTTTGTACCTCAGATCTAGCTATGGCATCCTCTACCTCTCAGCAAAGCCAAAACCCCCCTTCCTTTCTTCAACCTATACAACTTCATAACCAACTCATCTCCATCAAACTAACAGATGAGAACCATTTGATTTGGAGGCAGCAAGTCCTTACTACAGTGAGAGGCTTTGGTCTTGAAGGGTTTCTAGATGGAACTTCAGAAGCCCCTACCAGATTCATTCCCGGAGAAGAAGAGGGAATATTGCAGGTCAACCCAGAGTTCACCACCTGGCAGAGACAAGACCAACTCCTAGCATCATGGCTATTGTCCTCACTTTCAGAATCCATCCTCATCTCAGTGGTGGGGATGAGCAGTTCTTCTCAGATCTGGAAAAGCTTGGAGTCTAGCTTCTCTACACAATCAAAGGCCAGAACAATGCATTACAGAATTCAGCTCCAAAACCTAAAGAAAGGAACTTTGTCCATCAGAGAATATGTGAACAAAGTAAAGCTGTGCTGTGACACCTTGGCTGCAGGAGGACACAAGGTGACTGAACAAGATCAGATAATGCATATCTTGAGTGGCCTAGGACCTGAATATGATGCAGTGGTGGTGAGTATTAATGCAAGGCCAGATCTTCTCACTATGATGGATGTTTTTTCACTGTTGCTCACCTATGAGAGCAGGCTGCAAGCCTCAGCAGCAGCAAGTGAAACTACTGCCTTGCCAAGTGCCAATTTGGCAGTCCAACACAACAAGCCTTTCCAGAACAACTACCCTGCAAGAGGAAGAGGAAACCAACAAGGTTTCAGAGGAAGAGGAAGGTCAAATAGAGGAAGGGGAGGCAGAAATTTTGGAAATAGGGTCCAGTGCCAAATATGTGGTTATACCAACCATACTGCAGACAAATGCTACAATAGGTTCAACCCTGATTTTGTAGCTCAGTCACAGCAACAAAGAACTTTCAGTGATGGGAAAAACTTCAGTCAATCCTCAGCTATGTTTGTCTCCAAAGAAAACAACAGTGAAAATGAGTGGTTCCCAGATTCTGGGGCTTCTCACCATGTGACTAATGACTTCAGCAATCTCAGTGTTGCTTCTGAATATGGTGGTGCCAACAAGTTACAGATTGGTAATGGTTCTGGACTAGATATTGCACATGTTGGTAAGACATCTCTTATCACAAACTCATCATCTCTTGGTACACCAAATGTTTTTAAACTGTCCAATTTGCTACATGTTCCTCACATTGCTAAGAATCTTATTAGTGTGGCTCAGTTTGCAAAAGATAATGATGTTTATTTTGAGTTCTTTCCCACTTTCTGTGTTGTGAAGGGTCAAACTTCAGGAATGGAACTTCTCAGAGGGAGTCTTAAGGATGGTCTTTACACTTTCAAGCTCAATAGATTGTCTCATCAGAACCAAGATAGAAGGAATTCAAGTTTTAAAAATCAGAAGTCTTTTAAGGGTCATGTTTATGTTGCTAGTTCAGCTAAGTCTTTGGAACTTTGGCATAAGAGATTAGGTCATCCTTGCTATGATGTCACTAAGAAAGCATTGAGTGATTGTAATCTTCCTTATGTCAATAATAAAGAATTTTGTTCAGATTGTGTGCAAGCCAAGTCTCATAAGCTATCCTTTTCTACTTCCACTCATGTCACCACACAACCTTTGCAGCTCATACACACAGATCTTTGGGGTCCAACACCTCTTAAATCTACCACAGGATCTTTATATTATGTGGCCTTTATTGATGACTTCACCAAATTTACCTGGATTTATTTTCTTAAACATAAATCTGAAACCAAAGCAGCCTTCATTCAGTTTCAAAACCTTGTTGAAAACCAGTTGAACCACAAAATTAAAATGGTTCAAAGTGATGGAGGGACAGAATACAAACCTTTGCTAGAACTTTTCACTGAAAAAGGAATTGTTCACAGGGTGTCTTGTCCTTACACACCCCAACAAAATGGCCTTGTGGAAAGAAAACACAGGCATTTGGTTGAAGTAGGTCTCATTCTTATGTCTCACTCAGCAGTTCCAAAGAGATATTGGGAAGAAGCTTTTAGTACAGCTATTTATCTCATAAATAGAATACCAAACAAAACCATAAACTATAACTCTCCTTTTTGCCAACTTTTTGGTTTTAAACCTTCCTACAACCATTTGAAAGTTTTTGGGTGTGCTGCTTTCCCCCATCTTAGACCATATAACAAAGATAAGCTTGACATGAGATCTCAACTTGGGGTATTTTTAGGTTACAGCTCTCAGTACAAAGGGTACAAAATTCTGCTCAAGAGTGGTAAAGTCATTATTTCTAGAGATGTGGTATTTAATGAAGTGAGCTTTCCTTTTAAATTATCAAAGCAAACTGAGCACATTAATGTTGATACTTTGCATAATCCTACTGTTACTGCTGACACTGAATCACACACTCATACTGAATTCCTTCATACCACATTAATACCATCTCACATACCTTCTGTCACTATAACAACACCAGACAACACCCAACTTCCCACAACTAACCCCCAAGTCCCTCCTGTCTCATCACCCCCCTCACCCTCTCCCTCTTCTCAGTCTCCTCATTCTTCACCACTTCATACTACTTCCCCTCCATGCTCTTCATCTCCTCATAATGCCACTGTCTCACCACTTATGCATTCTAGTCCAGTTCCTCCTACTGTTATACAGGTACCTCAAAATGACCATCATATGGTCACAAGGTCAAAAAGGGGCATCTTTAAACCTAAAGCTTACTCCACTGCCATCATTCCTTCTGAACCGGCCAATCACTCAGAGGCATTAACTATTCCTCATTGGCAGCAGGCTATGGTTCATGAATATAAGGCTTTGATTCACAACAACACTTGGGAAGTGATGCCTCTTCCTGTTGGCAGAACAGCTATAGGCTGTAAATGGGTCTTTAAGACTAAGCTCAATGCAGATGGCTCCATATCAAGGTACAAAGCTCGACTTGTGGCTAAAGGCTACACTCAGATTCCTGGTATTGACTTTCAAGAAATTTTTAGTCCAGTTGTTAAACCTGTTACAATGAGGATGGTTTTAACTATTGCCTTAGCTAAAGGGTGGTCTGTCAAGCAATTGGATGTTGACAATGCCTTCTTGCATGGCACTCTTGACAACTCTACTGACATCTATATGCAACAACCACCTGGGTTTGAATCACCTAATCATCCCAACCTTGTTTGCAAACTGAAAAAGGCCATTTATGGTCTGAAACAGGCCTCCAAGACATGGTTTGACAAACTTCACACAGTCCTTGGTTCCCTTGGTTTCAGGTCTTCTCTTGCTGATGCTTCATTGTTTGTTAAAAAGGGTTCTACTTCCATTACATATCTCATTGTATATGTAGATGACATGGTCATCACAGGCAGCTCCATCACTGAGGTTAACAGAACTATTTCTCTTTTGTCCAAGGTGTTTCCTCTTAAAGACTTGGGGTCTTTGCATCATTTTCTTGGTATTGAAATTCATCATACAAAGGAAGGAATGTTACTCTCTCAGAAATCTTATGTTCATCAGATTCTCTCTAAGGTGAATATGCAGAACTCCAACAAGCTTGCTGCTCCTATGTTGAGCTCTCCCTCTCTGTCTAAATTCAATGGAGCTCCTTTTCCTGATGGGCTACTTTACAGACAGATCATAGGTAGTTTACAATACCTCACTATCACTAGACCAGACATTACATTTGCAGTGAACAAATTAAGTCAGTTTATGCAGTCCCCATTGGACATACACTGGAAATCTGTCAAAAGACTCCTCAGGTACTTAGTAGGTACTGCAGATTATGGGCTCATGCTTTATAAATCCAAGCATCTTCATGTCTCAGCCTTTTCAGATTCTGATTGGGCCTCTGATCCAGACGACAGAAAATCAACATCTGGTCATTGTGTTTTCCTTGGCTCAAATCTTATTTCATGGAGCTCAAAAAAACAACACACTGTTTCTAGAAGTAGCACTGAAGCTGAGTATCGAAGTTTGGGCCATGCTGTTTCAGATGTTCTCTGGATCAACACTCTACTCAAGGAATTACACATATCTCAGTCCATTGCTCCTACTGTTTGGGTGGACAACTTAGCTGCTGTGTTTATGTCTTGTAATCCAATCATTCAAGGTAGGACAAAACACATTGAAGTTGATCTTCATTTTATAAGGGAGAAAGTGCTTAAAAAATCAATTTCAGTGCATCATGTCCCTGCAATTGATCAGGCCGCAGACATCTTTACTAAACCTCTAACTGGACAATTCTTCCATCGCATGAGGAACAAACTTAACGTTCTCCCTCTTAGCTCCCTCGAATTGCGGGGGGATGTTGGAAATAACTCTCCCGTTGCTCTGACATCAATGGCTCGATCACCATCCACCTCAGCTTCAGTTAATGACGTGGATAAGAAGCACATGCACTCCCATGCATCTGGCATGTCTGCCATGCACCTGAAATAGCCGTTGGGATTTTTTGGATTTTTGCTCTAGCTTTACAGCTCATTATTGTACTGTCTAATTCTTATCCACATGATTCCAGATAGTTCTATGTAGGGTATAAATAGGAGGCTCATGTATTTTCCTCATTTTTGATCTTCTTCAACAAGCAATATCAGATTAGGTTTTTACTGTTCATCGCATTCTTTCTCTACTGTGCACGCAAGAAGATTAAGCAATGATTTGTTTTAAATCCAACACTGAATCATCGGGACATTTATAGAAAATTGTCCCGCACGTCGACCCGCATGTTGCGCATGAACGTCGAGCATCGAGCGGTGTGGATGGGTGTTGGCGGTGCAGGATGAGGTCCCCTTTTGGGTGAAGCACGTGTCCCTTCAACTCTCGGGGGAACTCGCCTGAGCATCCATCGTGCATTAGGACATCCTTGTCGTTGGGATCTCGAGTGAAGGGAGTCAAGAAGATAGGCAAGAGGCACGCGCTGCACATCAAAGAGTTCCCATCGTCCAGATCCATGTTGTTTCCTTCTTCAGGATCCCAATCGAAGTGATCGGTTTTTGCTGATCTTTCAGGGTATGATAGCTGCTGGCTTCCTGACAACATTTTTTGTTCTTAAGTATATATATGAATTTGTTTTGCTGGGTGTTGTTAATGCCGATAGATATGAATTAATTTGCAGCATGCACTCACAACATATATATATATATATAATGTGCATCAAAGCCGCCATAGGTAGCTAGCGTGAAAGAAGAGGAAGAATAATATTATAAAATATTCCTCTACCATTAAGTTAATTAATTAACTACACACTAATAAAGGCATATTGCTCCTCCTTTTGTTGATGCTGAAGCTGATGCTTGCCTCCAGTAATACTTCAACCATATATATTATTCTTCTTCTTTACACAGCTAGCTAGCGCAAAGAAGAATAATTTTATATTTTTAAGGTTTTAACTTCTCTGAATCAGAGGCGGAGCCAGCCTCATCATTCACCGAGGTCAGCAATATTTTTTAGTGGGGTCATTAACCTAGTAAACAGTGTTTGAACAGTATTTTATACTAAAAATTTTGAAATCTATAGGGGTCAGCTGACCCCAACGGCAAAGTGCAGCTTCGCCCCGGCTCTGAATCATTTTTTATGCATGTGAATTTCATCACTATTATATTCATTACGTCTCACAAGTAGTTTCAATTTATCCCCCTTGCATTGTACTATTAGTCTATTACTCATGGAAAGAGAAATGAAACAC